CAGGCGCAGTGGCTCAAGCCTGTAATTCCAGCACTTTGGGAGGCCAAGGCAAGAGGATTGCCTGAGTTCAGGGATTCGAGACCAGCCTGGGCAACTTGGTGAGACTACATCTCTACAATAAAATTTAAAAATTAGCCAGGTGTGATGGCATGAGCCTATAGCTCCAGCTACTTGGAAGGTTGAGCTAGAATGATCACCTGAGCCTAGCACGTCAAGGCTGAGGTAGCCATGAACATGTCACTGCACTCCAGCCTGGGTGACAGAATGAGACTCCGACTCAAAAACAAAACAAAACAAATTGCATAAGGGGCGGGAGTGGTGGCTCATTCCTATAATCCTAGCACTTTGGGAGGCCGAGGTGAGAGGATTGCCTGTGCCCATGGGTTTGAGTTAAGCTGGGGCAACTTGGTGAGACCTCATCTCTACAATATATCAAAAAATTAGCCAGGCATTGTAGCACATGCCTGTAGTTCCAGCTACTTGGAAGGCTGAGGTGGAAGGATCGCCTGAGCCCAACAGGTTGAGGTTGCGGTGGCCGTGAGTGTGCCACTACACTCCAGCCTGGGCAACAGAGTGATACTCCAACTCAAAAATAAAGTAAATAAAATAAAATAAAAATTGCATAAAAGAGGCTGGGTATGGTAGCACTTTGGAAAGCCAAGTTGAGAGAACTACCTGAGCCCATGGGTTCCAGATCAGCCTGGGCAGTGCCTCTCTATAATAAATCAAAAAACTAGCTGGGCATGGTGGCATGTGCCTGTAGTTTCAGCTACTTGGAAGGTTGAGGCGGAAGGATCACCTGAGCCCAGTAGGTAAAGGCTGCAGTGGCTGTGAGCATGCCACTGCTCTCCAGCCTAGGCAACGGAGTGAGACTCCAACTCAAAAAAAAAAAAAATGTCCCAAGAAGCAAATTTAAAACCCTAAGGAAAGCCACAGGGAGATGAGACAAGAAAGAACCCAACAAGTTAAGTCCAAATTGATTATGAGTAGACATCAGCTGAGTGGAATATTCTTTTTTTCCCCCTAATTATTAGTGGTCTACTCCCACCACTGCTGGCAGAAGGAGCCATGGCTGGGTGAAATATTCTTGCTACTAGAGAAGGTGACTAGGATTTGTCTGTACAATGAAATAATTTAGCAGATCCCAAACTTGATTTTTGTTTGGGTACTCACCTTTCTCTTCACATTCCCAGGGAGGCCAAAAGAAGACACCCCTTGCTTAATCTAAGTCAATAAAGGCAATTTCCTTTACCTTGCTAGAGACTGAGTTAGGGTGGAGCATATGTCATAATTCTGGCCAGTGAAAAGTCTATGAGTGGCTTCTAACAAAGGTTTCTTACCAATAAAGGAAAAACTTAGGAGGAAATCACCCATTGTCTTCTGCTGTAACTGTAGTAGCCGTCTTTCAATCACTAGGTGTATAGCCTAGAGGATAAGCTTAGGATGGCAGAACAGAAAAACAAAATGAACCCTGAAGCCCCACCCTACCACAGGACTTTTTGTTTCATATATACAAGACGTATATCCTCTTATTGATTAAGGTCCTGTAGAGTTATGTTTTTTATTTTGTGCAACTAAATATACCTTATTGATATAGGCAGGTGGGCATTGCAATCCAGCAAGTAGCTTTAGACCAAAAGTAATGGAGGAACAGAACAATTCAAGCAGCAGCTTAAACTTTTAAAATTCAACTGCACGTGCTTAAAAGGAAATGAGGGACTGGGCTTGGTGGCTCACACCTGTAATCTAAGCACTTTGAAAGGTAATGCTGGAGGATTGCTTGAGGCCAGGAGTCAAAGAACAGCCTGGGCAACATAGTGAGACCGTGCCTCTATTTAAAAAAAAAAATGTTTAAAAAAAATTGAGGAACAGAGGAAAATTTAAATTCCAAGAGCATAGCCCACTGTTGCAGGGAAACAGAAATGTTCTGTCACTAATGTAGTTGTACAGGCTATTTATTTAAGACCTAAGAAACTGTCAAAATTGTTGGGGCAGAGAGGTGAGGAAGGCCCAGAATTCAAGCGCTAAAGTCAGTAAGAAATGTTTCCCAGAACACTAGCAGAAAACTACCAGACTCATGAAGTCTAGAGATGAAAAACTTAAAAAGAATGTTAACAGTTCAAGGGAGAGGTATCCTAACTTCAGGACTTGAACTGCTGGTCTATGGAATAGATGCAGCCATAGCTCAATGTCATTAGCCATTAAGATCCAACTCATTTACTGATATTTGTGTTCCCAAAAATACATTTAAAATTTTGTTTTTCTACACCTATCAAAAAAACAGCCAGGCTCGGTGGCTCAGCCTGTAATCCCGTGCTTTTGGGAAACTGAGGTGAGTAGATTGCCTGAGGGTTCGAGACCCGCCTGGGCAGGCGAGACCTCATCTCTACAATAAATCAAAAAAAATTACCCGGTATGGTAGCATGCACCTATAGTTCCAGCTACTCGGAAGGCTGAGGCAGAAGGATCGCCAGAGCCCAGCAGGTCAAGGCTGCAGTGGCCGGGAACGGTCACTGCACTCCAGTCTCGGCGACAGTAAGACTCCAACTCGCCGGGCTCGGTGGCTCAGCCTGTAATCCCGCGCCTTTGGGAGGCTGAGGTGGGTGGATTGCCTGAGCCCGCGGGTTCGAGACCCGCCTGGGCAACTTGGCAAGACCTCATCTCTAAAATAAATCAAAAAATCAGCTGGGCGTGGTAGCGCACGCCTGTAGTTCCAGCTACTTGGAAGGCTAAGGCGGAAGGATCACCGGATCCCCAGCAGGTCGAGGCTGTGGTGGCCAGGAGCGGCCACTGCACTCCAGTCTGGGCGACAGAGTGAGACTCCAACTCAAAAAAAAAAAAAGAAAACAATCAGAGGAATTACATAATCATGTATTTGAAAGTGATTGGCTTATAATGAGCACCATAAATTGCTATGTGTTTGGTTTAAACATGCCTTTTGAGAGTTTGGGTAAAATAAATCACAATATTTGACTCTTTGCACAATATTTAACAAAACTGGAATTTCTAGCCTTGTAAAGCCAGTAGGCTGTGGTAGCTTTACTTAGGTAAAGACATCCTAAGTGACATCTCCACTTCATGTCTAAAGTGATGGTTTTTAACCACCCTCGAGTCCTATCAGAATAGAGAACACATTTTAAACAAATCTCTACCACCCAACCTCTACCAATCCCCACTTGAAAATTACTATAATAGTGAGCTACAGTTTTACTACTGGGAGTGTGCTGTATGCCTCCAAAAAAACTTCAGAAGGGGGTAAAGGTTAAGCACTTTGACTTAGACTGGGTTCTGCCAGAAGTGAGCTCAAACAATCTGAGTGCAATTGATGATTCCAGAATGTACCAGTAGGGAAGTAGGGAGTGACACAAGAGAAGGAAGCCTATGCAGGGTACATTCATAAGCAGATTCCCACTGTGGGCAACCCCATTTAATACTGCTGGGGACTTCTAAAAGATGGCATGGAAAGCATTATCCCACTCAAGGGGTAATTTTCGGATATCCAGTTGTGAAGTTTCTCTGGTCAGCAAGGAGGCAGGGTATGCGTCATCTAATTCCCACTTGCTATTATCTGAAAGCTGTTCCCTGGGGCATTAACTCCACAGCGGTTCAAGCAGAGAGAATGCCTCAAGCAGGTGGCTTACAGCAGGACTCCAATTAATGACATGTGCTGGGAATGGTGATTGTTCAGGAAATATGGGTGGAACAATAACACTTTCTGCTACACACCTGCTGGTTCCTGACTGGTTTCTCTCCCCTTTAGTTCTTGGTTAAGTTCACCTTATTTTGCCACTTCTCGTAATTCTTGATGCAGCTCTTCTTTTTGCTCCACCCAGAACTTGCATCTTTCTAATGGCTTATTAGTTCTTCTTTATTATTTTTTTGTGTTTGTGAGTCTAGAGTCTCACTCTGTCATCCAGGCTAGTGTGCTGTAGCACGCTCATGGTCACCACAAGCTCAACCTGCTGGGCTCAGGCGATCCTTCCACCTCAGTCTTCCAAGTAGCTGTAACCATAGGCGTGTGCCACCATGCCCAGCTAATTTTTTTTTCTTTTTTTTTTTTTGAATTGGAGTCTCACTCCGTCGCCCAGACTGGGGGGCAGTGGCCA